TGTTATAAAATGTAGACCAAATTAAACTTCCTTCAATTCGGCGCTAGCGACGTGCGCTGATGAAGGTTAAAAAGCGTCAAAATCGGTTTCTGGGCCAGTCGAGGTATATATAAGAAAATGTGTATGCGAATGGAGGGAAGAAAAAGAAATAGCGGTTCAATTTCAAAAGACCGCCACGAAGGTGGATTCCTCGGGACTTGACTCCCTTAATATGGCAGTTACTTGTGTTAAGTTGTGATGGGATTCGACGCAATGCCTGATGAGTGCCATACATTTACGGTCTGTCACGCAACACCGCTAGGCTTCAGCAAGAAAGTGTCCTCGTACAAGTGGAGTTGACACCTACCCATATACGACATATGCGTTGCTCACGATGAGGAGATAATCCGCGTGTTACATGAAAACTGCATTCGAGAGTTTTTAGTCCCTGGAGATTGGTAGTTCAGTGTACTAATAGAAACGTAAGAGCACAGAAAAAAACTGACCAGTTAACTTCTCTGTTTCTTTATTTTTGGCAGGTTGACAGAACCAGGTAAAGCAGTCGTATATGGAATAATCAGTGTGATATGGCCGGTTCTCGACAGAAATGCAGGTGCAAGTTAAGGCTCACTCTGACTCCATTCAACCAGTCAAGACCCTGACCACCATCTGAGACTCGAAACGTAAACTACCGCACACAATAAAGATGGTCCAAAGACAGGCTTGGCAAATCAGTCATTAATGCTCCATTAAAACGAGGTTCGGCAGCACCTCGCCACTGCTGCTATAGTTGCCTAAAGTAAAGCACAATAGGACAAACAGGACTGCCTCATGCTCTCTCTGCGGATGCCACTGCTATCATGTCCTAGGTGGTTGGCTGTAGGTGATCCCAGCTATTCATTTGGACCTTGCTTCCCTCGAGAAACCATGGTATTGATGCGCGACTCAGCATGTACTATAAGCTCTTTCTACGAATTTGGATTAACAGTTCAGCTAATTGGCAAAGAATGCGATTCGGTGTGATAATGTAGCAGTAATACGAAGATTACTGTCGTACGATTAACGTACAAGTCAACATAGAATGATTAATCCCAAAAATACGATTACGTTCACCGGTAAAGTCCTTTACTAAAATTGACGACATCCGAACAGAACTATTTACAATCACAACCAGAACTAAGTACATTGTAACGTAAGCTGAGGCCGCTCACCTGTTGCTAGGCGCAAAGGTTTCAAGCCCACAACAATATCTACCAAACTTTACCTCCTTCTGTTCAGGGGTGCCGAGTTCAAAGAACTTCTGAATGACATAGTTGCCGAACACGTCCACCATAAGATTATACGACTGAGGTAAAATTTCCCGGAAGACGGCCATTTTGTCAACCGCACTGGCTTGCTCCAATTTCTGTTGGATGAACCGAGAGCCGTACTGATCTTGGGCGAATTCAACGATGTGATTCGTGAGGTCTCGCAGGGTCAATGATGGTAGCCGAGCAAACCTTTAGAAGAAATAAACAGGTAGGATAAAAAGGTACAAATATTAAACAGTAAGATGATTAAAAAAGTTAAGGTAGCTGTCGAAACGTGCACATAGTATTGATCGTATTATTAAAAGTAATTGTCTAAATCCATATATAAAGGACGGAATAAACCATAGGGTAACAAAACAGACGCAATGGAAAAGAGGTATTTCGTTGTCAATGGGGTTCAGGAGTTTTGACTTCGGTAATCGAGAACTTACACTTCCCCGCTACCTGATGGACAAGGACTTCCTGCCAAAGGGTGGGTAGGATTAGAGGTCTCGCATGTAGCATACCCGATGGCTGTGTATATGATGCGGCCTTCGATTCGAGCTCCGAGATCGTAAAGCGTATCATAAAAAGCATTCAAAAGCTTCTGAAATCTTGCAAAGGACTACAGGGCAATTAGCTTTCTTATGCTGATTAATTGTTGTCCATCATCTACAAAACTGTCTACCGTGTAAACGTTCTCACAATTTTCTCCCTATGTTAATTTAATGATCACGTGGTAGGTACGATGCTTCCGTTGTCTCGAGTACAATGAAAGTGGTCTTTATATTCAAAGAAATTACCTGAACCGCAAGTCCAAAACCAAATGCAAAGGGACAGCGAAGAACATGCTTGTAAAAGCTAACATCTGAAAATGTGGATGAGCCAATCCTATAGAATATCTTCAGTAGGACGGATAGCAAACACGATAAATGTGCTTTGTAAACTGCTAGACAGCAGCTTGACTTGCAATTTCGTGAGTGTGTTAAAAGCTGGGTTGCACATCAGAAAAAATGACTGTTTACGGTTTTTAATTTTAACTTTCAGAGTAAGCTATAAGGATGAAACAAAGCTCGAGGCTGAAGTTGTCATCGTTCACCGAGCAAAAGAGGGTGTTAATATATAAATACAGAACAATTTTGGAAACAACCAGTTTACCACTTAAATTTTGCCGTCTATATAGTAGAAACCACACACAAAAATTGCTGGGCTACTCGCTGAGAGGCCTAAACCCTTTTAAT